ATAATGCATGTAGTATATTGGTGGGAAATCCAGAAGGAAAGAGACCACAGAGAAGAACAAGGGGTAGGTGGGTGGACAATAATAAAATGAATCTTAGAGATATAGGATGGGATGGTATGGATTGGATTGATCTGGCTCAGGATAGGGACCAGTGGAGGGCTCTTCTGAACATGGTAATGAACCTTCAGGTTCCATAAAATGCTAGGCAATTCTTGAGTAGCTGCACAATTGGCAGCTTGTCAAGAAGGGCTCAGCTCCATGAATGAATGAAGTAGTTTACTCAGTTTGAAGGATGATTCTATTCAGTTGGTTACATATACCTAGAGTAAATGAATTTAATGTTATATAGGCTGATCACTAGAGTTTTGTTTTGTGTAGCTGTTAATGAGTGAAACCTAACAAATAATATTTTTTTCTTTTTTTTTCTTTAAATGGAAAAGGGTTTCCAAAGAGAGATTGCAGATGAAATAGCTTTTTCCAAGTTCTGTGGCTTTTCTCTTTGAGCCATTATTTCCCCAACAATAATCTTTGTTATCTGTTACTGCCCCTGAGATGTGCAGTTGGAGTGCAAAGTTAGGAAGCATATTACCATAGCCATGGTCCTCAGATGGGGATCTTCACTTGGCTTGTTTCAGGTTAAAGAAGTCCATTTTATTCACACAGATTTTGTCATAGAATTGCATTTATTTTAGAAATTAAAGGTGAATTGATTTTGGGATGATATCAGCATGAATCCTACTAGTTATTTTGACTGACTTTTTTTGTACTTTCCCTCACTCCCTCTAGCTGCATGACAGAATAGTTCCTTATTAGGCCATAGTAAGTTTCCAATATCTGAACATTGCAGTACAGGACCACAAATAAGTATTTAAAATACTTAAATAGTTATAGATATAAATAAGTGATTAGTTACAGATTAGTCAAATTACTATAGAAGAATGGAATATTGTGAAGTTTAAGAATATTATGTTACATTTTGGTGGGATACATAAAATTAATGAAGGCAATAGAATTGGAGAAACAGAAGATGATTTAGAAGATGTAAAAGTAAATGAGTCAAAACAGCTATTAGATAGAGCTAAAAACAGAAAAATTTCAAGTTTGTACAATTTGAATTTAGAACTGGTAAAATATGTAGGACACATCGAAACAAATCAAATTCATATGTAGGACACTTACTTATTTATGGAGCTGAGCCCTTCTTGAGGAGAAGCAAAATCTGCAGCTACTCAAGAATTTCCCAGCATTTTATGGAACCCAAAGGTTCATTACCATGTTCACAAGAGCCCTACACTGGTCCCTATCCTGAGCCAGATCAATCCAATCGATCCCATCCTATCTCTCTAAGATCCATTTTAATATTGTTCACCCACCTACACCTTGGTCTTCCTCATATCCCTCATTCGTGCTAAATGTCCTGCCAATCTCATACTTCTTGACTTGATCATTCTAATTATACTTGGAGAAGAGTACAAGTTATGAAGCTCCTCATTATGCAGTTTTCTCCATCCTCCTGTCACTTCATCTCTCTTTGGTCCAAATAATCTCCTCAACACCCTGTTCTCAAACACCCTCAGTTTATATTCCTCCCTTAATGTCAGAGTCCAAGTTTCACACCCATACAGAACCACTAACAAAATTATAATTTTGTATATT